CGTTTCTTGGCACTAGTTCACCAAGTTGATTCCCTAGAGATAACACTTGACGTTAGATTTTTTTCAAATTTTTTGTGGTTGTTCCTAATAATGCAGATATTCGAAATGTGCGATAAAAAACAAATGGTACGGTGCTCGTTCAAGAGTCGTAACTCGTCAAAGGTGCGTCAAAAATCCGTACAATGGTACCCATTAAGTGCGTTTCTCTTTTTCTGAATGCCGCTACGTTTCGGGGTATCAGTGGCCAAACACATGGAGTTAATATTAAAAAGTCGCAATAGGTTTATTGCATAGTCTTAAAGAAACAATTTGATATATGTTTCTTGGCAAAAATGTACATCTTGGATCAGAGTTGACAAAAAGTCTTTCTAGTGTGCGTCTTCAAGGGGTGGTAAGGTTCAGGTCACTAGTGAAAGGGTAAGTAAACATTTTTGGCAGTAATTTTTTTACCAGACGTTAAAATTTTTTCTTACTCATTCAGTGGAAAGGCAATGTAATTTTAAATTTTTAAGCTTCAATTTATAATTCCGCATATTAAATTGTAGTAATGTAGATAGACGACCACCCTTATTAACTTAGTGTTAGCTTGGTGATGCAACACTGAGGAAACACCTTAAAGAGGGACGCGCTTCGCTTTCTTTCTTCTCGCACATTTATTTCCAGTGAACATCAGCATAACTTAATCAACATTTAATTTCCGTCTACGCCGATTAAAAGTCTATGACGATCAAAAAGTTTACCCGGGTTAAAAGTACACGCATATTCCCGGATGAAGGCCACCGTCGCTAAATCTCATTCATTACGCATGCACACATTTATGAGTTAATAATGGTCGCTTCTCGGAACAGATAATGTCCACGGACAAATATCTGAGTCTATTTCTGCACTAAATGGAGGCTATAGTTTATTTATGTTTTCAGGTATAACACCGCTAGCACCGATACGTTAAATAATACAGCTGAACATACTTTCAGAGTTTACCTTAGAGATTCCACTGTGATTTAAGGCGACTCTCTGACTGAGACGTAATCGTACTTTGACTAAGTACTAAGCCATGCCACATTCGATATACAGGTTTGTTAACAGTTGTCTAATGTGGCAAAGATGCTAAAGCTCCATCTTTATTATATTGCAAACATTAGAAATCAGGAAAAGTACTTACCGTGTGGATAAGCAGTGAAATGTATCAGGAATCCCCTTTTTTCTTCGCTATGGTCTGAGTGGAATTTGATCAATATCTGGTCTCCAGTTAAGAGAATGTTCTGCCCAGTCCTCTGGCCACAGTACTTACCAACTATTCTTCCGTCATTAACAATCTCTAGATAGTCAAAACTGTGCATAAGAAACGGAAACAATTGGCCGTTATTACACGACTCAGTTAGTTCAAAGGGCCATTAACTAAGATAAAGCTATCAGAGATCTCAATTCCTTTATAGCCAAGCTTGGTCGGGACCGTACTCGGAGAATATTGGCCGGCATGTTTTTTATACGGACTGATAACACATGTATAGCAATGACGGATGTGACAATATGCCACGGTTACTTCTATTTTCGCATTTTGTCTAATTAGGTCTATATCTCGGGGGAAAGTAACATGCCAAAGATGGACAAGATGTCAGGCTGGGAAAGAGGAGAACAGCTTTTATTCTTTCCTATCCCACTGGAGAGCAGAAGTTTTATATGCACAGAGCTTTCAAATTGGCTCCTCGATCCCTGAAACTAAACGTAGCTGCTCAAACCATGTACTTTGCGCATGGAGTTTGAACATACGAAAGGAATTTCAATGAGAATTCTTACCTATATTGTAATCGTCAAGTTTTCGTGACTGACCATGAAATTTTTAAAGGCAAATTTCCCGCAAGAGTCATTTGCGTGCTTCTGATTACTTTATAAACAATGAAATTGGATGACGTTGTAGCTTGCGCATGCCCCGAGCCTTGAATTGTCAAGAAACTATGAGACTCTGTCTCAATTTATTAACTAACGTTATTATACAACTTTTCATAACATTTGACTGTCTTTTAGTTGAAGACAGCATATTAAAGCGAGGAACTTATAGTCCTCCAGGCTAGAAACTAACAAGTTTTGATACTAGTTATACAATAATTTACATATTTATCACATTTTTAGTTGCTTGTACTTATTTTTGTTGTCTATATTAAGTGTATGTGGAGTATAGTATGGTTTTAGATCGCAATTGGGACTCTTTCCCCCGTCACATGCCGTACTATTTTGAACTTATTTGCCTATTTGAAGTTAGTTCTTGTATTTTGGTGACGAACTCATTAAACTATACTAAACTAAATTGACCAGAGTCTCTCCACTCTACCCCACCCCCCTCCCCTTAAGGGTCCAAGATTCAGTCCGAGGTCTCTGAATATTATAAATAAGCCTTGTAACTATTTTCTGATTTGTTGTCCTTTGTTATAAAACAAGAACAGTCTCATCAAGTTTCATTCACTCCAATGAATTCTTGACAAATTAAAGGAATTAACAGATCGTGTAGTAGACAGCAGTAGGTATAAAAGCTTGAAGTAACAGCTATGTGCTTACCGGCATGATGAATGATCCTCCAATTCAAAATCGATGAAGGAAATGATCATCGTCCGATTGTGTGGAACAGGAACCGTATAACTGCAATCCATATTGGGTGGGTAGTAAGGATATCCAGGACTTCTTAGGGTGTTATTAACCACCGAACCACATCCTGTTTAAGGAAAGGTGTAAATATATTATATATGTTACATATGTGTATAAGTTCTCTTTGAGAAAACATATTGCAGGACAGGTATGCATAGGATAACACCACATCATAAGACACCAATACTGAATT